AAGAAAGAAATGAATTAATATAACAAAAAAAGAGAAAAAAAAATACTAATTTTACAAAAAAATAAAAATTAAAAAAATAAATAGTATATTAATATATTAATAATAATTAATTAATAATATGTACACAAAGAATAAAATAATAAAAAAATCCATTAATTGAATCCAGATTAATTAATAGTTGTAAATGATTAATAAAGTTCTAAAATGTTTTCAGTATTGACATTAGTTGATATATCTAAACCAATTTCTTCAGCCTCCTCAATAAATGTATCCAACACATCGTAAGCTTCTTTACCTAATTTCAAAAATTTTATATTTGCGTAAAATTTGTGAAAGTTATCAATTGTGATTAGGTCCAGCCAAGCATCATCATCATGGTGATATAGCCAATGTATTATAGGTTCGAACTCGTCTGGATATGGTATCGGTACAGTCAGAATATTTGGTAATTTTTGTCTCTCGCCTATCGTATTAAGCGGGCCTAGTAATTGATTAAAGAATCCACTTTGTAATGCTAATACTAAAGTATGTGACCAAAAATATCTTGATGATTGTTGTTGCCGTTGTTGTTGTTGTGATGATGATGAAGAGGAGGAAGATAATGGAAATGAATCATCCATTGGTGTAATTGGTGGTGATAATAAAGATGATGAACTGTCAATGATATTGCTAATCGATGTTTCTTCTCTTTCTTCATCATCTTCTTCCTCTTCATCATAATAACAATAATCGTCATCTTCATCTTCAGCTTCTAAAGCTACATTTAACCCAGCAGTTGTAGCGGTAAAAGTTGACTGTGATGATTTGTTATCATTGTTATTACCAAAAGTTGGCGATAATGGTGTCAATGGTGTTGATAATGGTGTTGACAATGGTGTCGATAAAGGCGTTGATAAAGGTGTTGATAGTGAAGATGACGCATTTGAATAGTAATTGTAATTGTTATTATTATTATTATTATTATTATTATTATATTGTTGTTGTAGTAGTTGTTGTTGTTGTTGTTGTTGTT